ATTAATTTTACACTTTTTCCCTCCCTTTTTTTTCCAAAATATTTCTACCTTTTTACTGTTGCAGAATTGGTAGGGATAATTTTTCTTTAGGAGTTTAGACATTGCAGCTTGGAAAGTTTAGAAGGATTTGAAGGCAAGATTTGTAGACCCATGATTCTAGAAGATTCGAGAAATATGTGACAAAATGAAAAATGTCCAAATGGTATCAACGCATAATGGATGTATTTTACAGAAAGTTTGCAATGAATTTCTTACTTTTTTGAGAATGTCTTGAAGAACAATGAAAACATAATATTTGAATGTTTTACTTCTGATTCTAGAATCTTAACATGTTTATCTTCCCTACTTTTCACTAGACACAAGCATGGAAAATATTAAAAAAGCTTCTAATCTTATCACATGGGCAAGCATTATAGATATGGATGTTTTTATTAATAAATAAATTGAAAACTTACAATTTAAAAGATTCATCTAATATGTCTTAATGCATCATACACAGAGCTGGTACACATTTTCCCACCTGATGCAATTTCTGTGGATCCTAAATTCTGCTGCCTAGTGCCCTTCTAATTTCTGCTTCCAATGTCTGCTCTAAATTCTAAAAGTTTTTCATTTCAAGATTTTGTTGTTCGGTGTGTCACTAAATTTTAAAAATTCTGCCACATCAGCTCTGTAACCTGCCTTTATCATATATGTTTCATATTTCTTCTGAATGTTCATATTACTAAAGAAATAAAATTAGCCGCTTTTTGTATAAATTCTAAATACATTTAGTGTTTTTTAGAATAACAGAAATCCTTAATTAAATCCAAAAATTCTAAAATGAAAAGGAAATGTGTTGAAGAAAAAAACTGAATACATAAAGAAAATTATTCTTCAAAAAATATGTGCAGTTATTATGTAAATTACCCAACTGTTTACGATTTGAGCCTTTACCATAATTTTCCATTTCTATTTCCTCATATGATAAAGTTACTGAGCCAAATTAAATTGTATAATCTTTGACCGCTAGTCCACATTTTTAGTTTTAATTAGACTGTTCTTGTTTAATTACGTCACCGTGAGCTGTAATTGATTTTGTTAGCATTGGAAAATGCCTTTTTGGTCTAAGTTCCTTTTAAATAAGAAGCTTATTTAAACTTTTGTCTGATATTGTAAATACTTTCAGACATAGCGATAATATTCTTCACGTCTGTCGGTGGGTTTTGGACTATTTAACTTTTACCAGATCAATAGAACCCTCATAGGTACATTGTGGAGATGTTGGCAAGTTAGGACATAAAGCACGCTGAAACGAGCAAGAGCATTGGTTTGCATATTGAGACAAATCTGTAATTGTTAGAAAAGATGCTTAAAGAGAAGGAAATCGATATAAAGTAGCTAAAATGGTAAAGCTTCAAGTTAAAATGATGGATAAATATTTTTTGAGTATTGTTGTTACAAGACATAAATGTTTTGCAGCTTTTAATGTGTAATTATTCTAATGTCATAAATTACATGTATTTTAAACTGTGAAATGTTATTAGATTTTGATTTTAATAGTGTTTTTTTTTTAACAAATATTGTTAAAAAATAAAATTTAATAATGGCCATGTAAATCCATAATGACTAAGGTTATCAAACTACCTAATTTAATTATTTATAACTAACTGCATACCCTTAAAATTATTTTTACATATTAAAGTGAGTTATTTCCTTTCATCAATACTCACTGTGGTCACAAGATTTAATAAAAAAATGAAAAAATTCAAGTAAAACTTATTCTTTGCATCTAGTGAGACTTAAAATAATACAAAACAGTTTATCATTTCTGGTGCTTTCACGGCTTATTGGAACCATAAGGTATATCAATGGGGTTACAATCCCTGGAACTCTACACGAAGCTATGACACTAACGGCATCAAACAGAGCCTGACTAACTTTCAACACTTGTCAACCGTGCCTAGGTCAGGCCTTTCAGGTTTGCTCTAATCAGCAGGTCTCTTTCTAGACAAGCAGCAGTGGTGACAACATTCAGTCTTTTGGTTAAGAATCATGCTGATTATGATCTTACTTCTCATTTCAACCTATGCTGTTTGACACAAAATTTACCTGCTATTTACTAAACCTCTAGACTGACCAAGTATGTGACAAAATGAGACACAAAAGAAATCAACATAAAGCTAACGGTTAGTAAAACATAAATGTCACTTATCTTGTTTCAAATATGTCCACTATTATAAGTTTAAAAAATTTAATGCTACTTGATAAATTGCATAAAGTTTATTTTATTCTCAAACCTATTAATAATTATGTTAATTCATGTTTATTAATAATGCATACTACTTAGGTATCTATTTCATTTTTAGGATGGTATTACAAAAGTGAAATTAAGGCATGGATAATATCAATTGAATTTATTCAGTTCCCATTTGCTCATAGGTCCTTAATTTTTTCGTTAATGGTCCTTAAAAGTACTTAATTTCCCGTGTGCAGAAATGTGTACGAACCCTGTCACCAAATCGTGTGTACAGTTTTAGGTACTAATGTTGTATCATGTGACACTGTGAAGGTGTAGTATCGAAACTTCAAAAACAAGGACTATGACATTCAAGAAGCTGAGTGCTGCATGAGCTGACTCGAGCAGATAAGCACTGCTTGAGTCATCCTGTACTAATTAGTCAGACCTTCACTAATCTGCCCGAATATCAATGCAAGGACAGAATTCTGGACCACATCATCACAAGAGATGAAAAGTGGATTTACTTCAACAACATAGGCTGAAAAGGGGGTTGGTCTTCTCTTGGGCAACTGGGGAAGACTGTCATGGTCTGCTCCCTGTCAGCAGCGCCCAAAGCACAATTTGACCAACAAAAAAGATCATGCTTTGTATCTGGTGGGATTACCGTGTTATTATCCACAAAGGGTGTCTGGGAAAAGGTAAAACCCTCGATATTAAAGTGTACAGCAGATGTTGACACTGCTGTCAAGGAAAAAAGTCAAACTGAGTTCCGGGACAAAAAGGTAATGTTCCATCAAGATAATGCAAGATCACATATTGCATTCACCAGCATGAATGGGTATATGAACTTGAATGGGATCTTTTGCCACATCAATCATATAGCTCCAACATTGCTCCTTCAGACTTCTACTTTTTTTCAAAACCTGTAACTACATCTTGCTGGTGTTATCTCCCATTCTGCACAGGGCATCTGAAATGAGTGTTCTGTTTTTGGACTTGCAGCCACCAAGTTTCTGAGCCGAAGGTTTTGAAAAACTACCAATATGTTGGCAGAAAACTCATAGATTTAGAATTCCTTATTTTATTAAGAACATTTTTTGGTGGGAAAGCTTTTGTAAAAACCAGATAATACAAGCAATTAAATCTGAGAACTAAAATGTTGGTATTATATTGTTTATTTAAAATTTGCTCTGTATGTCCGACTTCTGCATAAACATTTACTTAAATTTAGATGCACATTATTTCAGCAGTTTGTAAATAATTTGTTTCTGAAAGTAAAACACATTCTGTTTTCACTTTTCTGTAAAATGAAGCCTGGAAACATGAAAATAAGACAAATATTTTTTTCCTCTCTTAGAAAGTAAATTCTTTTATTATTTACAAGAAATAAGGGACATTTCTTTATTTAAAATTTAATTTGGATTGAATTTAATAATATTAAAAAAATGTCAGGAATCTAACATTACTTCAAAGGTAATCTGTTCAAGCTCTGAAGCCAACCTCAAATCCTTGTTAGATTGGTTTTTCTAAATCTCAAAATAGGAAATGCAAAAGCAGTGCATTGAATACAGATAAAAATAATAAGAGCTATCAAAAAATGATTGTTTGTTACATTTCGCTTAATAGTTAATTTAGATTTCGTATTTTTAAATATATAAGGAGTTATAAAACTGAAGGATTTCATGGCTATAAGAAGGATTTGTTCAATCTTAAATTTGTAGATTGAAATTGAATCAAAAGGCTCAAAGCAGAGACTGTCTATGGTTTGTCTGAAATTGTATGACTCAAAGGAAAAATATAAGGTATTAAATATAATTTATATCAATAAATTTATGTATTATGAATCTCTTGCAAGTTCTATAGTTTAACACCTTGTTTTAATATATAGAACTTGTGTTACAGATGGAAAATTCAGTATAGAAGGCTGGTTTTCTTATTCATTACACATGAAAATTTCTGCGAGCTTTTAATGTTTGGGTGCGTATTGGAAGAAAAGGAATCAAGGTACAATGTAAAAGAATCATTTTTTAAATATAGTTAAGAAAATACAATTTTTTTCACGACATTCTGAGGAACTTTGAAATTTCAGGGCTAAATCCGTAACACTCAGTAGGTTAAATGTTTGTAAAGATTGCTAACTTTGATATTCATTCTATTTGTGTTCTATCTGAGCTAAGCAAACTCTCTAACTTGTTAAATAGAGATTTCATAGTTATTCTACTTTATGATTCTTTAATAAAACTGTGCTAAATAGAGGATAGTTTACTCAAACGCCTCAACTGTGTTAAATACATGACATATCACTACTGCATACAAGAAACTTTAAATCCAAACTAATTCCTTTGTACTATATTAAAATGTAATGTTTTTAATTTTACACATTTAAAATGTACCAATTAAATAATCTTAGGATGGAATGTCATTCTAACATGATAAAATGGGGAGTAGAGAACCACTAAAATATGATGCATAAAAGAATTATGAAAACCTCATTAAAATTTGTCATAACAATACTTTTGTGAAAAAAATTCTATACATTAAAATTAATGAGCAAAATCTTTACATGTTTCTTTACCACAAAACTCCATGTTTTCTGTGTCAACTTAGTTTTTGTCTTAAATTAATTACATGTTGCCTAGCAATTTTTTATTGTTAAATTTCTTTAATTTAGAACAAGAGGGAACTTTTATGATAGTTTTCGTAAAAGCTAATGAATTCTCATTAGATTAAGAAACCAAACACATTCTGAGAAAAACTTGCGTAGCAGTGTACAAAATAATCAAACACAAAGTTGCAGACATTTATTGCAATATTTCGTTAAACACAAAATTGTTTGCGAGTAACATTCTCTTACTGGCCTTTGTAAATGAGAAATTTTTAAAATAAGTACAGAATTTACAAATTATTTTCATACAGAACTTAGCAGAAATATGAAGAAAAGAAATGTTAAACTTTGAAACTAGTAGGAAATTGAGGATGCCACCAATTTAGAATCACGATGCTTTCTACAGGATCAAACTCCACAACATCACCATATGCCCCAGTTTTTGAATTTGTGCTTTTATTTTTTTGGCTATAGTTTGCATAGCAAAATGTTAATTGCAATTTCTGGCGACGCATGTCCTGAGTCAAATTAATGCGAACATCCGACAGGCGGCTTCCCATTACAAATGGTGGAACAGCTACAAAATGAGAACAAGAAACACGTAAAATTTTACTCCCTTCATCAGGATTATGATTTACATAGGCTTCTTGACTCTTCCCATCATAGCTGTCTTTGCCTGTCCATAAATCCTGTATGACAACTCCAAAGGACACAGGACAGCAAGATGCAGATACAGGTGTTTGAAATTTAAAGTGAAACAACCACTTTCCATTTTGTTGCACCCGCCACATTGATGTACAGCAAAGATTTGACAAGGAATGCACATCCATTGATTGCATACGAGTTGAAAGTTGATTAGTAAAATGGGGATACATGTAATAAAGAGCTCGAACAACAGACATTTTTAAGCAGAAAGAAGCTTGAATACATTCAGGTTGCAATCTTTGAGGAAGATGAGCTCCGGCTTGATAATGTCTGGAAAAAAAAAAAAAAAAAAGAAGGAAAGAAACAGTTGTCATAAATGACATTTAAATAGATTTCATTTTAAAAAATACAAATTTGCATGGAGATCTAAATTATAACAAACATACGCACTTATAATGAACTCCCGATTTTTCTATACTACAGTCAAATACCGAAAATCCGGGTTGCCTCTTAAAATGTAAACATTTAGTTTATAGGTTTTGGAAACCGCAACATAGAGTACGAAATATCGAAGAAAAAATACTTACCACCGGATAATGACATCATAACTACCGAATAATAATGAGTCATAACGGAAATACCAAATTATTGACATCATGATAAAAGTTTTTTCCCCTGCAATCTGCGTCCAGGTAAAAAAGCAGACAATTCACTCAACTCTTCTTTCAAGTTCACGATTCATGTTGTTGTACTTTCTGAGCTTTGCTATTTCACGAGATTATTTAGAGCTGCCTTTTTTTTTATCCGGATATTTTGCGGATAAATTAAGAATATTTTAAATTTCAGCACTTTTTAATACAATGACAGATAAGAAATGCACTCATGATTTTTACTGCTTGCAACGTTGAAAAATGTAAACACATTGCATTGACGGTAATGCAAAAAGTGGAAATTCTGCAAAAGATGGAGGCAGGTGCTACTCCTTGGTTTATACCAATCATATCGAATTGCGACATGGACTGTGTATGATATACGGAAAAATAAAGAAAAGCTGTCGAAATTTTACAGCAACAGTGATTCTAACACCGGAATCTGAAACCAGAAATCTTTACATGAGGCGAAATCGGCAAACCTCGATGCTATCTTGTACAAGTTGTTCTGGCAGCAGCGGAGTGTTGGGGTTCTAATTTCAGGACTACTGTGAGAAAAGGGGAAGGAGATTCATTATATTTAAAAATAGAAGTGCCTAATATAAACAAATAATATAATCAATTTATATATATGTAATAATAATTTAATGCATAAAATAAATTATTGTTATAATGTATATAATAATTTAATTAAATGTATCTAATAGGCCTTATTTATTTTGCACTTTTAATCTGAATATTATCTTTCCTGTCCTGAAATCCACAAAATCCTAAAATCCGCACAACCTCTGCTCCCAAGCTTTGTGGATTTCTGGACTTCTACTGTATTAATAAAAAGGTGTACATGGAAAAGCAAAGACACGTGTAATCTAAATACAGTCCTATAACTGCACAGTACTCATGTCAGGTCAACTGTGAGCATTTCCAGTCTATGACTGTCTTATCTGCAATGAAAATTTGATCAACAGACAATTCTTTTTCATGCAGAAATATATCCCTCAATGAATCATTTTGCAGTTAAACTTTTCATATATCAGATATATTTTAGAACCATAATTTTTTTTTGAAAATATGCAAGGCTATTATGAAAGGTGCATTAAATAGAATCTGTCTAAAACAATACATATAAAAAAAATTTCCTCAAAGTTACAGGGCTTTAGAAAAGCCTTCTAATTTTTTCTGATCAATTCACGATATTGTGCAATCTTCAAGGAAAAATTTTTAAACTGATTTCTTTGTATTTGGCAGTATTGAACCATTACAATTTTGCAGAAATTTCAGACGTTTCTTCTTTTAATTCCTTAAATAAAATAACATTATTCACCTACTGCTATTTACTGTTGATATGCAGCCTGATGTCCTGCAAGAATATCAAGAAAATCACCATAATTATACAATTATTGTCATGATGAATATCTAGTTTTAAAAGTTAAATAACACTTATATTAGTTACTATAATATATGAACAAGCTATAACTATCTGGGGTTTTGGGTAAGAATAACTATATCTAATAATATCTACCTATGGTAGAATAACTGAAAAATGCAACACCATGAAGGAATAGTTGGAACTGAATGAAATTTATTCCACATAGTATATGGTACAAATAAATGATCAAATTTACAAGTTTAAAAAAAAAAAAAAAAAAAAGTCGGAAATCAGAACTTTATGTGTCCACCGCAGTGAGCGATGAGAGCCTGTATGCATTGTGACATTGAATCATACAGGTTTTCCATATGGCTTTGACTTTACACATAGTTCAATCTTAGCGTGTGCCCCACCAGCTGTATGAGCGATTTGCCAACCAATGAAATCCTAGACATGCTCAATGGGTGACATATCCAGGGAATAAGCATGCCATGGAAGAAGTGAAACTTACTGTGCCCTAAAGAAGGCTTGTGCAGTCAGAGAAACATACATGGCATTATCTTGCTGAAATATAGCACCCGGAATGTGTCAAAGAATGGGGAGGAACTCTGGCTCCACAAATTCCCTTGTACAGCAATCACTTTTGAGGTTGCCCAGAATCTGCACTAGATGAGATCGACAATTATACCCGATAGCTCTCCATACCATGATGCCAGGCGTTTCTGCAGTATGACACTGGATAACACACTGTGTGAGCAGATATGCCTCACTGTAATATCTGATGATCTCTTCCATCATTATACTCCATATTTTAGTGAGATTCATGGAAGAACACAAATTGTTGCCATAGGGCATGGAAGCCATTGTGTTGCCATGTCCTTTGAAGTTGTCTGCCCTTTGAAGTCATCTGCGATTCAGCGACAGGAAAATCCTGCATACAGGAACCCTTTGCACGCATTTCGTGCTGCAGCTGACAGCAACGAACTGTGCAGCTAGACAACACAACACTTGTAGCTGTGTTAGCACATTGTGCTAGCACATGAAAGGAGATGCTCTAACATCTGTAACAGCTATGCGGATGAAATGTCTGTCGTTCCATGCTGTTAAGCTACTGCCTGACCCCACTGCCAGGATTTTGCCTTGCTCAGTACTTCTCTGACCATTTATTCCAAACACACATCACTGTTGTGGCATTACACTACTTGTTGGCTGCAATTCTTCGATAGGAAAGTTCTCCCTCTCGCATGTAAAAGATGCAGCTTTGTTTGAACTATGCTAGTTGTTGATATGCCACCCTCTGTTGACGTTGCATATTGACCACTAATTAAATGTCCACTGCAGACGAAGACGGTAAACAGATTTCAATGCAACTTCACAGTTTTTTTAATATATATGGAGCATGCAGCCAGTTTGCATTCCACTCACGTGTAATCACTTTGTAATTGTAATTATTTGCATATCTTATCTCACTTTACATTTTTTCTGTAAGTTTGGTTCAATTTGTGTAATTTTTTCATGGTGCTGCAATTTTCACAAACATTTGTGTATATCAAACTATATCTGTCTGGGGTAGAATATCTTTGTGAAAGACTCTCTAAGAGAAACTACATATTTTTATTACATAAGAAAACCAAAAAAACTTTATAAAGTCACATATACTTAGAATGGCAATATTCAATTTTATGGCTAATTTAGGGGCATACTCCTTTTCAGGATAGTTTCTGTTCAACTGCTAATTTTTTCATCTTTGGGTGACTAGAGATGTACAATCATGTACAATCATTATGCATAAAATATATCTGAAAGATAATTAAATAAAATGTAAAATATTTGGCTAATCAAAACACTACCTTTATCAAACTCTTGTAAAATTTCTATCGAGTGTACTTATCTCTGGCTCTTGTGTTTTTGAATAAAAATATGAAGAATATTTTACTATATTAAAATTACTTTTTCATCATAAATTTTTATGCATACATTTTGCACTTTTTTATGCATTAGTTAATTTATAACTTCATCCATAGATGCTGTGAATTATTAGAAATTTTTTTATTGAAAAGTATCAAAGCATCTTCTTTTCATATGATGGCAGCTAAGTTAACAGATAGCATGTTCTTTTCAATGCTTCTTAAGTCTACATGTTTAAGCTACCTTAAAAAGTTAACTTTGATAAGATTAATCTCCATATTGCATAATGTTATTTCAATTTATATGCATTTATATTTTCATCATTAAACTAGTTTATTAACATTATACTGGGTAAAGCTTGAATTAGTATACTGCAATCAAAATATATGGCATAAATAGTTTGAAAATTATACTTATCTTGTTGTATTTCAAAATACATCATCTTAAAAGCCATAGTTTAAAAGTAAGATTTCAAATAAATACTTTTTTTTAGTTTAGTAACAAATATTTTTCTTTGAAAAATTATACCCAAATACACAAATACTATTTAAGAACATTTTAAAAGATAGAAATATTTTATAATGCACCTACCTTTTATACATATTTATCCAAAATGAGTATGTTCTGCTAACAAAATAAGAATCTTTACATATTGAAGCAAATACTTTTACAGCTTCAGGTTTAACAAACTGACCAATAAGGAACCAAACATCAATGGGATAACGAATACCAGGTCTTCGTTCAATATCTGGAGATAATGTTTTTGATCGTACATGTTTTTCTGCCCAAAGAAACACCAGAAGACTTTTAGTAATAAGAAACAAAATAAATAAATATGCAAAAGATTAAACAATTATTAGTATAAAATATTTAGGTACTTTCTGAATATCCATATCCCCCTCAAAAAAAGTCGGCAATCTTGGAGTACTAGTTTTTCGCCAGGCTAAGATGTGAAAGACAACAGCCATTTTCAAAACCGACTGAGAATTAAACAGTTACCAATTAACAAAATACAAAATGAACAAAACATCTATAATAATAATAACCCCCCCTTGTACTGTTTTTGCCCATGTACACAGCATTTTTCTAGCCTAGGAAAAAATCAGAGAATTGCAGATCCCTGCCATCATAAATGCTATCGTTCTCCCCGTCATCAGAGAACTGCATATATTTGAAATTATGCAAGCTATTCTTTCCCATGAACAAAGCAATTTGTTTTCTCTTTAAAAAAGTCCAAAAACTGCATAAATTTCAGCACTAGTGCACAAATTTTGATCCATAAAATCTGGTCAGTTATAAAGCACAACTTCATGCAGTGTAAGTTTTTTTCATTCTTCACTGTAAGAGCAAATTCTGTATTTCTAAAGAAATGCAGGAACTTTCTTTTTCATCAGCCATCAAACTCCACAGTACCATTACAGTTCCTTACAAGGGAAAAAAATTCACTCAATACAACAAAAGCACACTAATAACATAAACTCTAAAGACAGAAACTGACACTAATCTGTAGGGCATTCGCATATTTGGTTTGCCACATAATAATATTTTGGGGACATAGGACTTTGCCTTGTGTGGGCAAAATTAAAAGTGGATTTTAACATAATGAAGAAATTTGATTCGAACGTTTTAAGTAAGAGTTTAAATTTCTGTGAGGAGTGCCTCTTGGGCATTTACTGCATCATTTTGCCCTCTCTTACACGCAATCAGCAGATAGGAGTATGATGCACAGTGTGCATATCAACAATAATGATTCACTGTGAAATATTCCAAATTCACTGCAAGGGTCAAGAACTATAATTAGATGAAAAATGTGGTTATGGAAGTGATGGTTAAAAAAAAATTTCTCACGAAAGACGCCATACCAAACTCAACACCTGGTGCCAATGAAATACGAAAAAAAAGTTGGCAAGTAGTATGATTTAATGCTGAGCTGAAAACTTGGGTATAAAGATTTCTTTTAGACAAGATCTTGTGATCTGAGATATTAAAATGAAAGACGTTAGAAAACATAAAGGCTTACATTACTGACTAATCTGTGAAAAGTTTTGCTGAAAATTAAGGATTAAAATAATTGGAAGGGAGAAAAATTAAACAAACTTATCTGACAACCCAAAAGAATAAATGCTATAATTAATTACAGGAAATACAGGCTGCGACAGCAAAAATCATTTGGGATATTTTTCAACCACAAATTATAAACAAGCTCTTTAAGCAACATCATCCAAGAAAGGTGTGTAAAACAGAAAAGAATCCGATTCTTAAAGCAGTCCCACAAAGCATTCTCTAGCAGATAACAGACAGTAATTCAAGGAATTCGCATACGTGATGGAAAGAGTTTGGGGTTCTTCATATTATTATGTGAAATCAACTTGTGAACTACAGAAATAAAGGAGTTAAATCCCACTTGTTAATATATCAATAAGTGTAAAGCATTTTGAAATGTATTCTTGCTTGTTCTTAACAGAAAGTTTTTTACTTTAAAAAATAAATAAGAATCACTCATTTCTTAAATGAACATGCATGTATGGTAAAAAAAAAAAGGATCTTATATGACTAACAAAAGAACGTCAGTACATGGGATTTCATATATTTTATACTAAAAGGGCTACATAAAAGAATATGCATATAAACTAATTTTTATCATTTTAAATATTTATACACAAAATACACGCCAAGGAGGATTTGCAGTGTATGATTTGGCATACATGTGCTGTTTCCATCTAAGCTGCCCAGTGCTAAAATTTCATTCATATGCAGTTTTCAACGCTCATTAATCAACACTAAATGCTTGCTGCCGTCAGCTTTGGCCAGAGGTTATCAACAATTTTAAAGGTTTTTCTCAGTCTGAAAGAGAAGAAAAGAAATTGCAAAAGCAATTGGTAATGAAGGTTTTTCAGATATGGAAGAAGGTGTGTATTTAATTATGGCAAAGCACACTAGGGCTATCTGCCTAAGGAAAGGGATGCCTTCGTGGAGGACTTTCTAAGGGAAACTGGCTCGTATACACGTTACACATGGGGAAAAACATGAAAACACCCATGCAGCCAGCCCCTTCACAGGATTCGAACCTCGGACCGAACTACCAGTGTTCAGCGACTTTACCGCTCGGCCGCTGGTGGGCGATACAGAAGAAGGGAAAGAATCAAATGAGAAATGAAGAATTGGAGATCTTGTAACACCACATGATAATGAAGAAGATAAAGCTTCTTTAACTTACAAGAAGTTAAAAGAATTGTTAAAAAGTACAGGAACTTTTATCTGAAACATCACTATCAGTTACTGCGCCAGGCAAAAAATCATCAACTTTTTAAAAAAAGAACATTTAAAGAAGGGTTTATTAACTCTTTTGCTCCCAGTGGTTTAACACTGACTTATTCAAAATTCCACAGAATATAAGCTGTAAGAAAGTTTCATGTGCAACCACACGCATAAATAGGTGGCATAGGATGCCATCTTTTGGCACATAACAGAAATTTTAGGAAAAATGAAGTTTTCAACAATAAAAGCATTTTCTTTGTGTGATACCACTTGCAGAGTACCATAACCTTCCTTTTTGTGCAATGGCTAGGAAGTTATTTTCTCATTGTTTGTGGCTTCATATATTTTGGCATCTTGCTGGTGTGATAATTACAAATTCATGCACCTTATTTTCCGTGAGGAGTGAAGGTTAATCTTTATGATTGAAATATGTTTCTGTAGTGACTGATAGCACTGCAAAAGTGAAAAACGTAAAGGAAAGAGTGCAGACATCAACAAGTGTGCCAGAAAATGCAGACTTGTTTGATCTGAGATCAACAAGAAGCAGTGCATATAGAACATGTTAACAATGGGGTTTATGCAGTACGAAAGCTTAGTCCTATTCCACAAAACATGGACAGTTTGCAATATTGTATTGTCTGAAGAAAAACTGTTTTCAGAAGTATCATAAAAAATAAATCAAGACGTATAGTCTTATTGTCGCCTAACCACCATAATAAAGAAAAATTCCAAAAATTTTATTGTTTATATTAATTATTACTAACACATTAACCAAGTGAAAAGCAAATAAACTTTTTTACTCACAACTCTTCTGTTTGGAAGCCAAAGGATAAAACAGTAATAAAAATCCTTTCAATTAGCATTTGTTTCATTTTTTCTTTTATTTACAACAAAATTTAGGTTTGTTTAAGTTATATTGTCTTAACCTCTTTGTCATCCGTAACGAGTCTAGCGCATTCAAGTGAAACTTCTGCAGGCCGGCCGTAACACGCTTCATACGTTTTTCTACATTTTAAAACTTTAAAATGCTTTCTAAATGTTTATTTGTTTGAGTTTTTGTTTTTATTTATTCTAATACCTCCTAGAGGGCAGTACTAATCAGGCATTCTATTTCTAATTGAATTTCCCCTCCCCCGTGTTCTATGAATATTTGCAGCATTTTACATAAGACAGTGAGAGATCTTCAACGTCTACTCAGCAAAAAAAGAGAAAATATGTGGTTGTGAATTGGAAAGACAAGAAGGACATACATTTGATGAGTACAGTCCATAACTTTATGATTGATGTTGAAACACGGAAAATAACTGTAAAAAAAAAAAAAAAAAAAAAAAAAAAAAAATTGTAAAAGATTACAAACAACAAAATGGGAGAAGTGGACTGCCTGGATCAGATGTTATCAAATTAATCCTGCTGTTAGAAATAAGCAGAGATATAATTATTTTTCCATTATGCTTCAATTCCTTATAATTTTACGTAATATTCATTTAAATTCATCCACTACAAAAGTTACGTATGTACAGAGAAAACAACGCTGCGAAAAACAAAGAGCTGCTGGAGAGATTTTCGCGGACAGGACAGGACGGCGAAAGGGTTAATCTGAATTATAACTAACACATTGTTTTCAACAAAAAGTCAGCTTTCAGGAGTGCCATTTTGCCATATGCATAGCGTATTAATGTCATAATCCCCAAGCAATAGGTTCACTGTCAAGCCACAGTTTATATATTTAAAATAATTATTAACTAAACAACACAAATAAGTCTTTGATCTCTTAAGCTTACTTTGAGTTTCGTGAGAAGTTCCTGGGAACTGAAATTCTTCTAAGTCTCTTTCAAGCCATAATGTTTCTTCACTGCAGACATCTTTAACTGAAAACATAAAGTACATGTATATACTTAAAAAAAAAATCAGTGAGTACAAGAATTATAATTCAGTAATTAATTTCATATAGTTCAAATACTTTGCTAGATGCTATCTAATATGCAACATATGATTTATTCATAAATTATGTACTGAATGATATTACACACATTACATAAAATAGCAAAAAAAAAAAAAAAAAAAAAAAAAAAAAAAAAAATCATTCTACATTGCATCAAATAATTACTGTATAGGATATGAATTTATTTAAAGGATTTTGATATTCCAGCCTAATATATTACAATTTTGCATAAAACTATACTAACTCCAAATGGTAATTTACTGTAATTATACTACATAGTCATATACAGTTTTAAAGACTGGAAGAATTAAAAAAAAAGAATCACTCAAATGCAATGAAAAAGCCCATCATCACTGAGCAGTTAAGACCAATGAACACTGGTAATTTGACATGGTTTCAAATTCTAGTCAAGAGATTGGTTACTTGGATTTTTTGTGGTTTTTCCCTTAGGTAGCATGAATACAGGTCATTTCTCAATGAAAAATGTACTCCATAAAAACACCTCTCCTCTTAAGCTGATAACTCTCACATACTTGCTCATAACTCAAGTATCCTTTAACCCAGAGCAGTGCAGTAGCAATAATATGTCATATTGTGCATGCATATTTCTGCTTATGGCTACAACTGCGATGGAAACTTAGCAGCTTAGTTATTGGAAACTTTTAAGCTGCTGTACTTCACTACATTACAGAGGTTGGACAAAAATATGAAAACACCTTGTAAAATGCATGTTTGAATGTTTATTGTTGTAAAAGCTGTTCATGGTGTTGATGCGTTTACTCACTAATGACACTTGCACAACATCCTCAGTATGTTGCAAGTGTCATTTGTTATTGAGACAGAATTCAATGCAGTTGTGATTACATCATGTCACAGCTAAATAAATTCAAAGGTGGGCAAATTGCTGGGGCTCCTTTGGTGAGTGCTTCCGTAACCAAGGTAGTTGAAGTGTTTGCTGTTTCAAGAGGCACAGTATCTAAGATTTTGATACTATTCCATTAGAGCGGCGCCAGTTAAAATGCAGCGCTTTTTTTTCTTCTACCAATTGTTGCCGAGTATAAAATTATGAAATAATAATAGTGTTCAAAAGACTAAAAAGAAATTAGTTTTGAAAAAAGTAAATTTCTTAAAGTAAACTTTTTTTTTAATTTTTTAATCTAGAATAGTCTACACATAAATAAAAAATAATAAAATTAAATGAAATTCAATCTAAACAGATAGCATAAAATTACAAATATCATTCAATATTGCAAAAACATTTCAGTTTTTGAATGTAACTAATGACACATAAATTCTTTTAAATACGACTCTAAATGGTGGTGGTGCCCTGCTAAAGTTTATTTCTCCATTTAGCAGGGCCCCTCAATCACTCCACAGTTTGGATATGACATCCAGTTTCAGAGTCTATAAAATTATAACTATGATTCACGGTGAAATGTTCATACCCAGCATTTTTTAATTCCTCTTTTTTTTACATCCTTGCCAGCAGTCTGGAAACATAAGGTCCATCCGCGTTGCTTTCCCGTATAAAGCCCCAAATACCCACTGTTCCGGAAGAACACGTCTAACATTGTTTTTTTCTTTTTGGAAAAAGACTTTAAAGTAGCTATTCCAATCTATTGTTTTATTATCGCTGATTTGAAATTGAAGTTACCAAAATTCAATCCATGTCAATTCTTGATACCACAGATAGATAAAACGGCATTGAGGAAAGGAAACCACGAATCTTCAAACCATATTTTGGTTCTCAATCCCTTTTTTTTTCACAGCAAGAACGTATGTAACAACACCATATAGCAGCTTTGTTTGAGTCAAAAGTTAACTTCATTGAATGACTTTGAGAACAAAGTCTATTGTTATGAATTATTCCCTTATCCTGAAAGAATCTTATGACAGCCTTTTGGCCATTAGGTAATTGCCAAATTGTGTAATCTATCATACTAAAAAAATGGAAAAAAAATAACGAGTGATGACATTTTTCAAACAAGAACTAGAAATCTCGACCCATGACATTTGGCATGTTGATGCAGCATTGTTTTCTTCTCATTTTTTTCCTTCATTTTTAACAGACGCTGCTCTAACGGAATAGTACCAAGATTTTTAACTCATACAGGAAAAACGGAAAAACTATATCCACCAAATCACAGCGTGCACAAAAATGTGTGTTAAGTGATTATGACAATCATTGAAGAGAACTGTGATGAAACATAAGAGAACTACAGCCACAAAAAGTGACTGCTGAACTGAATGTCGTACTTGCAAACCCTCTCAGCACCAAAACAATACAAAGGAAGCTCCACAAGCAGGATATTTTTGGGCGAGCTGCAATTCAAGTCACTCATCGGGGATCAAAATGCATGTAAGAGGAGAAAGTTGTGCTTAAGTCATAAAACCTGGATTGCACAGCATTTTAAAGACTATTATTTGGTTGGATGAGTCTTACTTTACACTACTTCCAACTTCCGAGCCAGTTTACATCTGGCAAACGCCATCCCAAGTGTACGATAGAGACTGTTTGCTGCTAAAAGTGAAACATGGCAAGGGTTCAGCCATGGTTTCACCAGTTATATCGTGGTATTCCATGGGGCCCATCATTACTGTGCAAGATCACATTACTGCCAAGAATTATGTGACCATTTTGGCTGATAACGCACAATACATGGCACATATTTTGTTCCTCAAAGGTGATGCCATATTCCAAAACGACAGAGCTTCTGTTAACTCAGCTCACATTTACCATGGCCATCACAGTGACTAGATATCAATATTATTGGATCTTTGTGAGGTAGTTTGGAGAGAAATTCGCATAAGCACTATCCACTGCCATCATCGTTAACTGAACTTGCCAACATTTTACAGGAAAAATGGTACAAGATTTCTTCGTAACGCATACAAGACTATTTATCCATTCCAAGATGACTGTAAGCTGTTTTGAATGCCCATGGTTTTCTTACACCGTTTTAGTCACAGTAATATGTTTTCATTTCGGGGTATCCATATTTTTGGTCCAACCCTTGTATATTTCCTTTTCAACTGAGGAGTATAACATATAATTTTGCTTCTTTTATTTTTATAATGCTTTTGTGGCTACAGTTAAATGCAAACATAACAGCATAACTGCATCTCTTTATAACAGAGAAATACAAAATATATAATAGAAACTGCTGAATATTTGGGTAATTTACTGTTAATGCCAACATTTAATTTTTTACTACTTAGTAGATCAAATGTTGATAGACAGGATAGGCATCAGTATCATTTATTTTCCTCCCTCTTTTATTAAGTTTATTCTTTATTAAACATGATTGAAATGCTAGTTATTTTTTGTTGGATTTGTGCAAATAATTATTATATGAAGCTGTATATAACAGAAGAAAATAATTAGAAATTGAGTTATATGTATGCAGCAAACTAGAGCTAGAAACGAAAAATACTGTACAAAGTCCGTAATCCGGATGTCAATTATCCAGAATGATCTATAATCCGAACCTCAAAGCCATAAACCTTTTTCTTGTATGCTTTACGCATGCACGTTGGGAGGATGTATCTCCAGACACGTTAAAAAATGCTTGGCATAATTTATGGCCAGCTACCATATTTCATGGTGAGGAAGATGATAGCTGCGAATTTGAAGGTTTTTGGACATAGCAAAATAAAGCTGAAATTTTGCAGTTACTGAATTTTGTAAAGAAATGTGGAGAAGCGGTAATAAATGAAGATGATATAACAGAAGTTTTTCCTGACGACGACAATTAATGGACGGCGAAATCCGTCGTATGGTTCTAGATCCAGAAAATACCACTTCTGATAGTGAAGAAAGCGACAGAGAGGTTATTGAAAATAAAACAATTTTGATTGGCAAGTTAGTCGGTATGCTCTACACAGCAATTACAGGACTTGAACAGTGGAACTTTGTAAATGAACAAGAAATTATGTCTGTTTATAGAATTAAATAGAAAGTATTAGCACAAAAAATGAAGCAACTTATACAACTTAGATTAAGAATGAAAGAAATGTTGGTACTTTTCCGTTTTGCCGGCGCAAGCGATAAATTCACCAATAATGGTACAACCGATGCCAAACGGAATATTCTCGCTCATAACCTTTTACGCCTCATTCAGATAGTTCAGTTTTATGTCTAAGGCCACTTTCGGCAATTAAATCAATTAGGATGCAATCACAGCGCTTACCCGAAGCCGAAAATATAGAAAAGGTAAAGTCAAGGGGTAAATTCATCAATTCTAATGAGAATGCATTAGCGAAGTAAAGCACTGCAGTTTTACATAATTTCTGAGTAAGCTATTCGTACGAATTGAAGTATTTCTTGCATTTAAACTTGTGTTCCAAATTAAGATTTAACTTGAAATTAATGTAGATAATTACTGAGAGCATTATATTTTTGTAGAATAGTATACGTGAGATGAGATCGCTTGCGGTCTCGTGATATGAACCGGCGAAACAGGATGTTGAACCATGAAAGCATAGTAAATTCTTAAATTAATGTCTTTTTATAAATTTATTGTTTTTATAAAATTTTAAGCGATATTAAAATGTTTATGCCTTCAAAAAAAGAATCCTTAGGACTAACATTTTTTAAATATTTTTTGTGTGTATAATGTGTGTTGTCGCCAATAAAGTCTGCTTGGCGAGATTTGCGCCGGCGAAACGGAAAAGTACCGAAATGTTTAATAAACAAATAAATATTAAGCTTTTTTTTTTTGTTGTTGTTGTTGTAAATATTGATACCCTTTAGATGATAATTGCTCTTTATTTCATAAATTATGGTTTCATATTTTTAATTGTATAATTTTTGCATGCCATCTTACCAGATTTAAATTGATGATCTATAATCGGGAAAAACCTCTAATCCGAAATCGCTGGAGTCCGACAAGTCCGGATTATGGACTTTGTACTGTAGTTTGAAAACAGCAGTTAAGTTTTGCTTGCCTCCTAAATTTTAAATAATTTATAATAATATAGTGGTACTTACATATCAATGCAACTAACTTAGAAGTCAATAAATTTTCAGAATCTGCCAAACTCTGGCAACAATGCACACAACCATTCTTCCAGCAACCATGCTCATAAAAATCCTTTCAGTCAAGTAATGCCTCCCTTTTCGTATACATTCTTTTTCATTGCATTCCAAGTTCAAACAGTTTTCATAAACAAATTGCGATATTTTTTGTTTTAAATATGTGCTTATGGGATTTACCAGCAACGGAAGCAACTGCAGTAAAATTTCTGTAGAAATTCAGAATTTTTTGCTTGACATTTTTTAAACAGAACAACAAGGAAATGTGTCTCCTAGAAAGCCAGTGTTGCTAAGTATTGCACAAAGCCATGTCTCCACAATACTATGATTTTTTTTTAAGTGAAGAAACAAATCTCTGTGTACTTCAGGAGAGGAATAACCGGAAAAAGTTAGAGAAAGATTTGAAGGAGAATGTGTTTTATTTTTTCAATGTATTATGTAAACTTTATTTAATAACTCAAATTTGTATTTTAAATTGGTAAAGTATGTTTCTTTTGGCTTTCTAAACAAGAGGCGCAAAAACCACCAAATTGCATCTAACAAGTACCTTTTACATTTTCATCTATAAAAAATCGCTAAACTGTGCCAAGGTGATTGCATCAATACATAAGTATCATTATTGTATGCTGACGACTTATTTTGTGAAAAGTTTTATGCACTCTTTATTTATAATATACCCCTTATGCCTTCATTATTCATATCTACAGATATTTCTCAGAAATATTTTAATCATATTTGTTCATAATAGTTACTAAAATTTTTAATACTCTCGCTGTTTTTTAACACATTATATTTTTATCTTGTAGGTTTAATGTATCAAAATACTTAAAATATAAAACTGAGCTAAACTGGAAAAAATATGTCATTAGGGCTTTTTCGAGGACAAAACATGAAAAATGTACAATGCCCTCTTGGCATCTCAAATTCCAGACCTTCTGATCGCTAGTCAAATTTTCAAGTTTCACTACAAAGTTACAAGGTAATAAGGGAGAAAATCCTTACACTCTCCCCAACTTTTATAGCCAGCAGCTGGCTATGAGACCTAACTGCCAAATTCTGGTGAATACAAATTATTGTCGACTACCCCCCCTTTTTTAGTACCATTTGTAGAGTCATTACGTTTATTTCGAGAAGAAGGCATGAAAAATATGCAATGCGTTCACCAGAACCTAAACTCAGTACCTTTTCACTGCTAGCCAGCCTTACAAATAAGCCTAGGTGATGGCACTAACAGAAATATACACATTAATAACTGTTTTCAACAAATTATTTATTTCATAAATTTTCATATCACAGATCATATAAAATTTAGTGCAATTACTATATGCATCACTTTTTTAATAAATACAAAATACAGAAATATAAATGTCTACAATTAACCAAAATTTCCATACCTTCTTCTTCAATGGAACTACCAGCTGACTTACGAAGTCTTCCAGTGCGAACTACAATTGGCAAAATCGGAGAGTTTTATGTCTGTAAAAAATAAAGAAAATGTAAAATTTGTGAAAGAAAAAAAAAAAAAAAAAATTCTCAAAATTTAATTACATTTAAGATAGTGTCTTTAGTACATACAAGACTAGTGTTTCACTTTCCAAGAGAAAAGGCTAAATTTTTCTATCTTCACATGCAATTTGTAACATATTAGCCTGGGTACTTTCTAATTATCTGCACTCTTATTAAAAAATCACGAAAAAGTTTTAGCGAAGCAAATCAGTCACCAGAGCAGTTATGTGGAATACACAATGTTGCAAAAACAGAAGGCAACTTAAATAACATAGCAACATAGCACATCCATTTCGGCTAGTGCCCAATGCTGAAAATGTGGGATATCGAGTTTGTGCAATTCTCTGATATTTTTTAACTGAAAATGGATAACTGTGTACATGGGAAAAACAGAGAGGGAGCTAAAAAAAAAAAAGGAAGACTGCTTTTAAAATTTTATTTATTGATTGATTGTTCTTCTATGGAATTCTTAGTGTGCCACCATTTTGAAAATGGGTGTGGTTTTTAGTGCAAAAAATTAGTCATAAATGAGTTTGTGAATGCTCTCCAAAGTTGAGAATGAATTTTCAACTTTTTGATGGGAATGCAGTTAATTAGAAAGTACCTTCAGCTATATATTAATTGTATGTCTTGTATTTAGATTCTTTTCCAGTAGCTGACCAAAATGCTGAAGGCAGAAGACGATGCTGGAAATTTTTTTGTACACCTTCTTTTAAATACTACATGATATACTTTAATTTCATAACAGTTATTTTAAATTAATGCATCTTTCCTACCTTATCTAGTTTCAACTTACAACTCCCTACCAGAATGAATTTTTAGAATTGTGTTAAATGCAAATGAGGAGAAAAATAGTACTTAAGTCAAGTTCTATTGACTTTGATAGAGAGAGGTAGCATGCGTTTGCCTTTGGGCTATATCTCTCTAAGCTGTTGTTACGCTCAGCCGCATTACTTGCCTTTTGATAATTCACTGGCTAATTTACGATTTCGGGTCAAGTACTTTATAATTGTGTTAGCTTCAGCTAAATCTCTTAATAATCATTAGTTAGTTCTTATTTCCTATATTCTGAGTTTAAGCCCAAGCGGAAACTTTCTGTATGCCCAAAGAAAGAAGCCGAGTGTTAATCTTTTTTAAGTGAATAAAGGGTAATTAACCCTTCTTGAGTTTACGCTTTCTGTTTTTTGAACCAAATAATTATTTGCTTAGCAATTCACTAGGTTCCTCGACACTTAGTTTAAATAGAATAGAATAAAAGAATAGTAAGGAACTCTATAATATTTTCAATAAAAAATGTTAATAAAGAGAGTTGAAAGAAATTTTACGAATTATTGAACCAGTTTAATATAAAACTAGAAATAGTAATACAATTCATCTAATAATTTAAACAGAATAACGCATTTATAGCTTTTCAGCAAAATCCAGCTAGGTATTAGCACCTGTGATTACTAAGGTTCAGCAACACAAACTATAACATATTGACACATATTTACACTTATGATTTTTTGTACCAAAGTAATAACATCTGACATCAGAAATAGCTCGTTTAGTAGAATAATTTTACAGATAATCAGGAGAAAGTTAAATATATTATAAATAATATGAGTGAGATTCACTTTAAATTATATCAATTTGAGCTATTAAAAATAGAATAAAGATATAACCGAACTGGTTGCACAGATGAAAAATGGTCATAAAATGGCTACTACAGTACAAAGTTGCGAACCGGAATCGTAGGGATTCTGGTAATTCTGGAAATTTCCGAATTTTTATCCTCAGTTTAAATCTAGTAAGATGATATGTAGAAATTAAAATAAATATTAAAATTTAAAGGACAAGTTGGAACTTATTTGATAGATAAAAATTTCTTCCCCATGAAGGCTCTAACCAATTCTTTCTCAATGAAAGTCATAAAACAAAAGGAGTACATGTAAAATTAAAAGAAACTTCAAATACCTATACAAAACTGAAAATAATACAAAATAGAACAATAGACAAAAAATATGTATTAATCTTTTCAGTTTAATGCTTCAAACAGAACTTGTCAAGGGAAAAGTATTTAGGAGCCTAAACAAAGTTTACTAATGAGTTCCAAATACGTTTCATTCCTCTGAATCATTTGAGACTCAAAACTGCAACATTTGAACTAAATCTTCACTTTAAAACAACATTTTAGTGGCTCTCAAACATTCAGACCTTTTCCCTACATATATTTGCAACCCCAGAACTACAAAAATAATATACAAAAGTAGAAACACAAATTAAAAACATGAAAAACTTTTATGGCAAAAATCTGAAAAACAAAATGCTTAAAAACATAAAAAGGCTAAACGAACTAATTACAATCAAATACATCAAGTAATAACTCTGAATAATACAAGGAAAAATTTTTTTAAATCAAAAATTTTTTATTTGGTCAGTATTTAGAGCCTAATACAGTACAAAGTCTGTAATCCGGACTAGTCAGGTCTTTTAGTTCGGACTTCGGATTATTGGTTTTTCCAAATTATAGATCATCAATTTAAATCTGTTAAGATGGTATGCAGAAATTACACAATTAAAAATATGAAACTGTAATTTATGAAATAAAGAGCAATTATGATCTAAAGGGTATCAAATTTTACAAAAGAAAAGAAGCTTAATATTTATTTGTTTACTTTATTAAACATTTCTTTCAACACACGCATGTGTAAAGCATACATTACAGGCCTGCGCAATGTATTCGCATTCTTTACATGCACGCATAAAGTTTGTGGCTTTGAGGTCCAGATTATAGATCATTCCCGACAATGGACGTCCGGATTACGGACTTTGTACTGTATATGTGTATATATATATATATATATACACGTATATGTGATGTTTTAATGTGTAGAAGAAGGAAGCCAGTACTTGCTAGCAGCTTGTGGCTGTAGATAGGGCTAAGGGCATGATGACCCATTTAATATAACTAAGCTTGAAGTATCACAATTTTTATTTTCACACATATCAAAATTCATTCTTTTGAAGATATTTCTAAATTATATTTGAACACAATAATTTCCATGTACGTGGATTTTAAAGTACAATGTCATGCTAGATAAGTAAGCATAGCTGCAGAGCATCCTGCCAGGAGGAAAGCGTAAGAAAAGGACATGGCAATTCAGAAGAAGAAGGGAAGGAGCCAAAAAGATTCAGGAGTTAAAAAAGTTTTGGTTTACAATTACAATCAAAAGCCGTTAATCTGGACACCCATAATCCGGAATGATCTATAATCCGGACCTCAAAGCTACAAACTTTCTACGCATACGCATAATACGTTTATGCATGCACTTTTAATGTACAACGGATGGTATAATCTAAGCTAAAATTATCTAATTATCTATTTCAGTTAATATTGCAGATTGCGTTGTTCTTTATATTACGTATTCATCATGCCATTTCATTACTCTAGATGCTGGGTAATGCTTTTTATAAGTATAAACATGATTATATGCATGCATACATATAATACTCTGTAATATATAACAACTTTAGTTATAATACTTTTATCTATTCAGCAAGACTCACTCTTAAAGTTTATTCAGTCCTTGTCATGATGTAGTAAAATTAATTACCTAATTATCCTCAGTCATGCCATCAAAATTTTTACAGGGATTTATTGGGAAAGAGGATGATTTCCTTCAGTTTCATCATTGGGAGAATTATATGACTTTAAAAGGAGAATAACATTTTGTAGAAAGGAAGCAGACCAATATGAAATCTAATTTAAGGCATAATTCAATCCTGATTCAACATCAGTTATAAAGAAATTACTTCCCTCCGAAAACAGCAAACAATAATAGAATTCTGTATTGGCAATTGACAAAGATGCATGGTTAATTTTTAAAAAAATATTATCAATTCAATGAAACTAATTACAAGCAATAATGGAATGCAATAAAAAAACCAGATGGCTTCCATTAAAAATTTGCTGTCCATTAATCTAACAAGAAAACAATTTTTATTCCTAGCAGGTTAATTAACTTGTCACAAGAGGTATACGATGCACTGTTTGTTCTGAAGTCAAAATAACTGTATCAACACAAATAATGGTTAGTTAACCCAAGAAGAGTGCGCTACCTAATTGTGCTTTTAACTCTGCTAGTGTGAATTTTTTTAAAAAATAAAATACAGAAATCTGAAAAATGGTGTTTCAATAAAGTATGTGTGTTTTATATCAAATACAGTGGACTAAAAAATGCTGTTAGATTTCATGCAACCACTCTGAAGAAATTCATTTCCTATAGGCATAAATTTGCCATACATATTTAGCACTTACGTATCATCCCGTCAAACATGTAAGTTGGCAAAGATGCCAGCAAAGTTGTACCAATAGTCAGCTCTTTAGTCAATAAACCATTTATCAATCTCTCTGCACAATAGCCACTGCTGTGAAAGTATTCAAACAACTTCATTTCTAAGCTTCATGAAAAAAGATTTTGTCAGTTTTTACTCTTTTGTTAGGCCCTCTGATGTTACCAGAAGCCCTGTTTAGAACACTACAAGTACAAACTCTATTATTGTTTTGTCAGCAATATCCAGCTATTCCCCACTTCATCAGATATTAATTCTTTTTGATGAACCGAAGTGCAATCGCAAATGTGTATGAATGTATTGGTCTGCATTTGCGACTGCTATATTTGTTTTTTGCAGTTTGGTTAAATGTGGTTCAAGGGCTGTAGAATCACTTCGATTCATTTACAGAAAATGAACCAAAGTGATTCTACAGCCCTCAAACCACATTTAACCAAACTGGAAAAAAACAAATATAGCAATAACAGCTAATTTATAACTTTGCTTTTAAAACCAAAAGATAAGTTTATTGAGAATCATTAGGAGTAACATTAAAGGAAATTACAATTTACAAGTGTTGCGACATCACGGTTATCCATAATTGCTGCTAAATAGTGCTGCTTGACAACAGCTTTATGGTATATGAAATAATACATATCCTGCATTCTCATGATGCGAAACATTTCACTAGTAACATTAAAGAAATTAAAATCTTTATAAGTAATAAAAAACCAGACAGAACTCCAGCTTATTATTCATCTACTGAAAGCACTGAATAGAAACTCGGTCCACCTGGGGCACCAATTTTGGAGGACTTTAAAGAAGATCTGTAAAGAGTTTCTCACAACAATAATATGAACTGAAAGAATCTTAAATTTGAAGTCTGTCTCCTATTAGCTAAGGAGGATGATTTTAGAGTTTGAATTCCCCCCTTTTTTTTTATTATTAAATAATAAATTTTACAATTTAGTCTTATTTAACTAATTTAAATGAAAATCAATTTAAAAATAGGCAAAGAAAACCAAAAATTGGGCAACTGATTCAGAAAAAATGCCACCACAGTTGCTTGAGCAAATTACGACAAGACTGTAAATGAAGATTAAAGAAACAATGATTATGCTGAAAATTTAGTGTTAACATGATGTAGCAGATAAAGATAATTTATCTACTTACAAATGGACTTTGGGTAGTCAATAATCTATCATGTTGATGAGAACCATGATATCAAGATAAAAACTGAATTTGATGCGTTAAAGTGAACGGTATGTCCAAAAATGGAAGGCCTTTTCAAATATCTCTTTGTGTCTAGTCCATGCCAAAATGAAAATCCCTTTTAACTGAATAATTCATAATGTGTTGTTTTATACTCGTGAATTTTCAATGAGTATTATATCTTATACCATATTGTATTACAGTCAAAAGTCGTTAATCCGGAATGATCTATAATACGGACCTCAAAGCTACAAACTTGCTGTGCATGCATCAATGCATAATGCATTCACTCATACGCGTAATACCTTTACACATGTGCATATGCATGTATGCATGCGCATAATACGTTTACGCATGCACGTTTAATGTATAACAGACAGTATAAGCTAAGCTAAAATTATCCAGTTATCTATTTCAGTTAATGTTGCAGATTGCGTTGTTCCTTAATCTTCGAATTGGATCCAGCTTATTATTTTTTGCAGACTGTTAGAGCAATTTTATAAAAGTTAGCTTGAACTTTCGATTATGTCAAATAGAATTTCCGATGCTGGAGCTGCCAAAGGATCTACAAAGCGAAAGTATATTTCGATGTCCATCAAACAAAAAGTGGAATTGCTGCAAAAAATGGATAAAGGCATAACCTTTGTTTCTCTAACCATTCCAAAATCTGTTTATCAATTTCACGCTGCTCTGCGCGGGGGGGGGGGGGGGGGGACGTTGCGGCGCGCAATGAACTGGAAGTTGATCTGTCAGCACTTCAGAGCAGATTTTTTTATTTTATTTGGTTTATAATTCCTTACTAAATGTAGTATTTCATCTCGATGTATTCCGTCTTTGATATGATTTAAATAAAATTCCTCATCATTATAATTCGCTTCCAATAGTGAAGAAAGTGACACAGAGGTTATTGAAAACGAAAAAATTTCGACTGACAAATTAGTCGGTATTCTCGACGACAATTATAGGATTTGAACAGCGGAACTTTGTAACTGAACAAGAAATTATGTCTGTTTATAGAATTAAAGAGAAAGTATTATCACATAAAATGAAGCATCTTAAGCAACTTACATTGAAAGAAATGACTAATAAAGTAAACAAATAAATATTAAGCTGCTTTTTTTTTTTTTTTTTTTTGTAAATTTTGATACCCTTTAGATCATAACTGGTCTTTATTTCATAAATTATGGTTTCATATTTTTAATTTTATAATTTCTGCATGCCATCTTACCAGATTAAACTGATGATCTATAATCCAGAAAAATCGATAATCCGGAATCGTCAAAGTCCCAACGAGTCCAGATTAAAGACTTTCGACTGTATTTCATTGGGCAAGAGGTATCTGCATTAAGCATTACGTACGATTGCTCCTGGCAGGACGCTTTGCTTACTTACCTAACTTGAGGATATACATAAAACCCATGTACATGGAAATTATTATATTCAAATATATATGATTAAAAAATCGCATTTACAAAAGGATGATTTTTGATATGTACGAAAATAAAGATTGTGATACTTCAAAGCTCAGTTGTGTTAAATGAGTCATCATGCCTTTCCACTCAGCCCTATCTACAGCCACAAGCTGTTAGCTGGATTCCTCGTTAAACGCATTGAAACATGACATATACGAAATTGTTTATAAAATAATGACGAATTTATTATTTCAAGGTAATCAAAAGTTACACACAAAGCTCAATATTTAATTGTTTATTTTATTTAAAATTTTTTTTTCAGTGTCAATTGTAAACTATTTTTCTTTTCTGTGCAAATACTTTCTCTTCAATATTACAGATAAAAATCTTTTTTTAGCCTAAAGGTCATTAGCCCTGAAGGGCTATTGATTTCATTTTGGCATTTTGCATCAAAAACTTTTAAATGTCCGTTTCATTTTCCAAATTGTTGCCACCAAATATTACCGTCCTGTGTTATATTTAAAGAAATTAAATGATGAAGAATCTGCATAAATGTATGTGTTTCTTGCATTGTGATAAAAACTACAGTACCTAGAGCCACCAAATTTTGAATAACGTAATCCTCCACCAAATATGGGCATCTGGAAGCCCTAATTTGGAATTTGTTTTATTATCAATTTCATATTTTAACACTTTAACAAATTTTTGATTACCAAACTGAACAATTTCAAAGTCAGCAATGGCAACACTGTACGGAAAAATTGACATTTTTATCTCCAGCATGCGAGACTGTGTATCAGATATTCTAAAGATATGCTCATTTAAAAATTATTTTGTGATATTGTTGTTGAATTGAATTTTATGGTTTAAGTTCAAAGAACATGATGTTTAATAAATAAAGGTAACACATAAAATGTTTAAAAAAATGTAAAATCCGAAGGCTTTCAGATTTTTTTTAACCACAATGCTCCACTGTTCAAGTCTTGGAATTGCTGCAATGAAAATTTCAACTAAATTGTCAGTCAAAATGTTTTCAATCTCAAAAATCTCTTTGTCACTTTTATCACTATTAACAGCAATACTATTTGGATTTAAAACCATACAACAGATTTTGGCATCTTTTAGTTGATTGCTGATTGGAGCATTATCATTGCTAAGAAAAACTTTTGTGATGTCTTTTTTATTTGATATTACTTCACAAATTCCACTAACCAGAAAATTTTGCCTTCTATAGCACTCAAAATTTAATGACACATAAGGTTGCTGTTTTACATAATTTAATAAACAAAATGCAAACTTGTATATATCATTAAGGAGAATTTATTACTGAATTCAATACAAAACACAAAATTCAATTATTTGCAATAAAAAAAAATTAAACGATAATAGTTATCGATATACATTAGATAGTGATGATTGCAGCGAGTTATCAGTACTTAGTAGGGTACCCTTTATTTTTTATTACAGCTTCACATCGACATTTTATTGAGCTGACAAGAGTTTTAAGCTCTTCTTTTGTTATTACATGATGCCAGGAAACAATTATAGCCTCAATTAGTTCAGGACTGTTTCCTTGCCATGACTTAATGCTCTTTATACGAAACCACTCTTTCATTATTTTGCCTGTGTGGCAAGGAGCAGAATCCTGCTGAAAAATAAACGAAGCATTGTTGGGAAAGAGATCTCTGATGGAAGGTAGAAGTTTTGGTTCTAGAATACTGTCAATGTATTTTCTAGCATTCAGTGTCCCATCGATGACATGAAGGCGACCAATACCATCTGCTGACGTGCATGACCAAATCATAACACTAACTGGGTTCTTCACAGTTGCTTGAATGCAGTCAGGATGTAGTTCTCCTATTCTACGTCTTACGTATTTTCGCCAATCACTACCGAATAACGATATCTTAGTTTCATCATTTCATATAACTTGTGACCACTGATCATCTGTCCAATTAATGTGTTCCTTTGTCCACTGTAGTCTTTTTTTCGTTGCTGAAAATTAAGATAAGGCTTTTTTCATGGAATTCTACCTCTCAGTCCAACATCTGTTAATCTTCTCCTGATTGTTCTTGAACTCACAGAAATACCAGCATCATTCAGATCACTTCTGATGGCCGCTGATGACATTTTTCTATCTTGGAGACATAGTCTTTTTATTCTTCTGTCATCAATAGATGTGGTGCACCTTTTTAGGCCTTTTCCTTCTTTGTTTTTTATTGAATTTGTCTCCTGATACCGTAAACAAAACTTTCGGACTCCAGATGTAGTCACTGAACCACCCACCTGTCTTGCAATTTCAGCATAGGAAAGACCACTCTCGTAACACAATAATATTACATCTCTTTCTAGGTGTCCAGTCTACTCTTTTATTTGATGTCCTTGCTTCTTGACTAAATATTAAAAATTTTTACAAAAATTCCTAATTGTAATTGCAGTGTCTAAGAAACAGGTCCTCCTTCTACAGAACAAAGCAAAATAATGAATTTTATTTATTT